GTTACACGCAAGTTAGGAAGGTGAGATCCCACTTAGACCTGATACTGCTTTCATGCTGGTACAGGGGTGGGCAAAATGTAGCCCGGGGCCAGGTGCAGCCTGCCATGCCATTCTATCTGGCCTGCGAGGCCCCTAAAAAATTTAGAAAATTAATATTTGTCTGCCCTGGGCTGCCTGTCATGTAGCCCTCAATGGCTTGCCAAAATTCAGTAAGTGGCCCTCTGCCCAAAATAACTGCCTGCCCCGTGCTAGTACTTGCTTCAGTGCTACTGTTACTCCTTTCATACACCTTTGGAGGAGAGGTGAAAGTCAAGAGCAAGAACACTCTTCCCCTGCAAAAAGTCTTTTCCAGGCAGTGGGTTTGGGCAGGGAAAAGGAGAGCAGAGCTGCGTAATCCGATGTGCGCCCAGCTACGGACTGCAGCCTCTCCTACTGACTTTACGGATCATCTGAAACCCAACCAGACACTCAGGTTGAGATCCTGATCATTCAGGTGTAAATCAGGAGTAAAAGCATTGATTTTAAGGGCATTAGCAGGTTTAGGCTTGCTTAGTTATGTGTGCTGCTCTTCTCTTTTTTCTCTTCTCTTCCACCAGCAGATACGTTTGTCCAAACTAATTTGCGGAAGGTCGCCATAATTCATCTCATAATCACCCTCAACATCTGACAGGACTTCGTTTCACAGGATATGAGACAAAATACAAGCATAAGAGGAATCCTTAGAGACCTGAAGTAAGAGTAATGAATATGAACAACATCTTATGTCAGATCTAGCCTTACAGCTACAACTTCACAACATAATCATCATCAGTATCTCTTCGAGACCCACCCTGCAGTGATTCACAAAGGTTGGCGTATGGCTTCACACTGTAGATCTCAGATCCCAGCAGGAGCTAAAAGGTTCAGGATCAGGTCCTGGGTTATTAAATGACTCCCAAAAAAAGGCAGTTGTTCAGAGAAGGTGGTAAAGGAATGGACTCCCTGAAGTACAGTGGCAATGGTAAGAGAAACCAGTGTGCTTGGAAGAACCTGGAGCTGATACTTTGAGGCTTGAGGGCAAAATGTGTTACTGGAGTAGTAAGGGCTGTGTTTGCAGTGTTCAATGTATTTTTTTTTAATTGTCACTGAACAGAGTTAGTGAGAAGTCATGGGCATAGCAGAACAGCTTCCTACATTTTACACACCATATCAGCAGCGTGTATAAATACTTGCCTCATTTTGCTCATATGAATCATGACCCTGAATCAGCATTTTGGAAAACCCCGCTGACCACTCTTGGACTACAGTTTGCAGTCTGGAGCCAGGCACGAATAAGATGAACCGCATATATTATTCCATGCAAGGAATGTGCACATATGAAGCATATGCATTCAATATATACATATTAAGGATATACTAGGAAACACACTGACTGGGGAAAGAGAAGGTGTGCAGAGAAAAGCCACAGACAAGCAGGGGCTTTCAGGTAGTACTTATATATTATGGAGAAAGGCAAATAATACGTTTTGGGCCTGACTGTCATTTACAGTAAGATGTCCTAAAGGTCTTTTTCACACTGCCAGACCAGTGGACAGTGACCTTAGGAGAAGTGAGGAATGAAGACTTCTGAGTAGAAAGTAGAACCCGAAACCTGGGAAGGGTTCCCGAAACCACATCAGGATAAGCAAGTCTGATTTGGGATGTCTTTCTGGTACAAAGCTGCTGATGGACGCGATGGCCTTGTAACAGGACTTGGGAGAAACAGAAAGCATCCCACGTGGTCAGTGTGTTTACGGAAATGACACCAATGCTGCAAATCAACCCAAGGCTGACAAGCAGGATTGTGTACTTCTTCATAGCAGAATCAGCATGTTATAATTGTAAGTGGAACAACCAGAAGAGTCCCTGATAGCTGCTCTTTGGTCTCCAAATTGCAGTGTTCAGAAATAGCCTTTAAAGAATAAATACAAGCTCCATTTAAAGCTTTGGGGTCCACAAAGAGGATGTTCGGTTCATGATGTTAGACCCATATGAATAAGCTGAGACAGTATTTCACCAATGAAGAAAAATGCATATAATAAAGATGGATGGGACTTATCTATTTACTCAGACTTTCTTGCTCTAGACTTTGATAGTGTGCAATGGTTTGCAGTCTCCTCTGGAAAGGGAAAGATTCTTGTAGGTATTTGCTAATAAATTATGCACACTATATCAATTATCATCAATTAACTTAGCGGCAATGTAAAAAGCATAACAGAAAACACATCTCTTGATGACAGAGGAAAGAAGTAGCACAGAGCCATGTTCATGAAAGATTGTTCCCTAGGCAAATGTTTTTGGGCTCTTTCTCCCTAGCAGTCTCCAGATGGCAAGCCTTGTTTTCAGAGAACAAGAGATACTTTTATGAATTTCATTCTCAAATGATTTGCATTTCATTTCATACGTTAACGATTCACAAAGAAAATAAACTCATACCGAAACTCCTCTTTAAAACGCCCACATATTAAACGGACAGCTGTTTGTACTGTTACATAGATATAGATAGATATATACACACACGCACACCATTGTGGTTTTAAGGGCAGGGAGGAGGGTTTGTTTTCAGTTGAAATACTTGAAAAGACTGTCAGTACTGAAAACCCGGTCACTTTGCTACCACATGCAAAACTGTAGCACTCACCCTGTAATCATAAGTGGAGTCTGGGTTCTCCTCACAAGCTATGACCTCAGGAGCCATCCAATAGGGTGTCCCAATGAAGGTATTTCGTCTTCCAATCGTCCTGTCCAGCTGAGCACTTACCCCAAAATCCACTGCAAAAGTCAAGCACGAGTAATGCACTTAATTCAAAGCTCAAAATACTTGATCACTAGCTACTTCTGCTTGAAAAGCAAACCATGTCGCAATTTCAATTCTTAAACTGCCCAGCTTGAAATGAATTCTGGAGCAATTAAGATGCCTTGCTACAGATCTGGAGACACAAACTGCGCTCTGAATTTATGCTGAAAGGCTCCTCACACGGACATGGCTGTAAACTGGTAACCAGTCAATCAGGTTGGAGTGTCAAAGGTGACTGTGTGTGATGCTGGCCACATTAATTCCTAAGGTTGTTACTATAGAAACTGATGTGCCTTATTCATGTTAGACTTATGGGCCACTAGACTCAGAAGAACCTTTGATCAATGGAGTCTGCACCAGAAATGATGAAGGATTAGCTACTTTCTGCTCCTTGTGGGATGAAAAGTTCATGCTAAATTTGGCAAAAAGACTGTGATTAAAAAAGATTTTAAAGAAGGCATGAACTTCCCCATCTAGGATGTCACAGAAAAATCATTCAGACTTGAACTACATACTAGGGCAGAAAAGGATAATGATTTGGCATCTTAAAACAAACTGAATAAGTGGGACTAGGGTCTTCCTGGGATGGCCAGAAGTTATTGCAGAGCAACAGGTCCAGCATATCAGTGAAAAAATTATTTTTTGTTGGACTTCTGTCTCAGAACAGGCTGGAGAAGTACATTTCTGTATTCAGTTGTGAAATGCATTATAAAGAGGGAGCTGAGCTGTGCTCTTTGAGCTTAAAAGGGAGTCATCTGCTCATCATGGTGCCGCAGGTGTGTTGTAAATGTCTTTGTTCAGACAATAAATAGTCTTCACAATAATCTATAATTATGTGTTTTCATTAAAAACACCCTTGAAAACTTATTAATTAGATCTGTTGGACAAATGACATACGTTAAATTAAGTGTGCTATTGACAGAATAGCTACAGGAAACACTGGCTAGGGTATGATGGTAGGGTCTGATACTACTATCACCAAAGAGCAGATTTCCATGCCTTCCTCCCACCGGTCCCTATTATTTGCATACAACCTCTGCTAACAGACTGTTTCATAGACCCTGTAGTATTATAACATACACAGAAATTACTGTATCACTAAATTACCAAAATATATGGGTGGGGCTCGGCTCTTTGAAGCATTGTGTGTAATCTATAACACTGGATGTGAAAATTGAAAGCATTTTATAAATGATGATTATTTTGACGTAGGATCACTGAAGCCTAAGCATTGCAGCAGCTTTGCTTTTAGACACGACTGAGCTAAGTTTCTTTGGAAATAGCTTTGGTTTATTTTCAAGCCTTATAGAAATGTTTCATTATTAACTACTTGCATATAATGCAGAGCTAAACAGCAGAAAAAGACATCAGTGATGATGACAGAAGCAAAGGAGGGCAGAAGAGAAACAAACAGGAAAAGGTCTTGCTGATTTAAAGTACAGGAGCAGCAGACATGTGTCTGGCAATTAAAAATAATCTGTGGGTAAAATCCTGCCTTTATTCACATCCATGACAAGATTCCCATTGGTTTCAGAGCAGCCAAAATTTTACCACAAAGCTAAATCCTCAGTTCAACATAAGGCATTATTCTGATCTAAGCCAGTTGAGGATCTTATGCCATGTCCTTTCGACATAGCCTTTTTAAAATTTTTTTTGAACTGCTAAGAGAGTTGCAATGAAGAAGGGAAAAATCAAAGGGAAATTCTAAAGAAAAAAAAAGCACCATCCTTGATGCAGTCCCTTTCAAACACTGCCAGGTATTCCCTGTGATGTGTTTTTAAAAAGAAATGAACTGTCCATATTCGCTTTTGAGCCAGGGATGCTGTTTGCTCTTACAAAGTAAAAAGTTGTCAACAGTTTCCACAGTGACGTGCCACAGCTATCCTGCACTTAGAAGTGGAAAGGAGTGTGCTCACAAATCCTCTCAGGTGTCAGTTGTTGGCAAGCAGTTCCTTTCCAGTGGTAACCTTTGCGCAGAGCTAGGGTGACTCAGTCCCTGCTGCCAGTTTCATTAACACCCCCGAGAACACTTCTGTTACAGAAATGGATTAATATGTTTTGGTGGGTTTTTTGCCCCAAACTAATTGTTCTGGAAGGAAAAAACAAAAAAACCAGGGGTGACTGTGCACATGTAGCTTATGCATGCTGAATATGCATGTGTTGCTGTGAGCTGATCAATGGAATAAAGCTGCCTAGGGAAGTTGAGGAATCTCCTTCATTGAAAGTTTCCTTGAAGACTCTGGATAAGACCCAGTCTGGGAGGGTTAAGGAACAGTAAATCCTGTCTCTCTGCAGGGGGCAGCCTGCATGAATCTTGAAGTTGCTTCCAACTTGGTGATTTTATAATTTGGTTTTATGTGGCTACCTTTCAGACATGCTGAGAATGATGAGTGATGTATGTAACTCGTTGGACCTATGGGATCCTGCTATATGGAAGCAGCCATGGAACCGTAAATTGTTACAGTGATATCTGATCTATTTTCCATTTGTGGGTTATTTAATGACCTTTCCATGTTAACATGGAGCTTGCAGCATATAGGAGCATTCAGGGAAACTCACCGAGCTTTACTTCTGCATTTTCCGTGAGGAGAACGTTCTGCCCTTTAATGTCTCGGTGGATAACGTGGTGGGCATGAAGGTGCGCCAAGCCCTGCAAGAGAACTGTGTTACTCAGGCTGTTTTCTTCCCATCAGGGTCATGAATTTGGGAATTCTTGCTTCATTCAGGGTGTGATGATCCTGGTAAAAATCTCTCAGAAGTGATTGCTAGCAAACCATTTGCTCACAGTGCTGCCAATAAGAAGAGTGAGTGAGCAACACAGCATCTCTCAGCTTATCTCACTCACATAGGCTGAAAGCAGTGCAGCATTTTGGAAGTGAAGCGAGAGGAGAATCATGGCCACAAACTGCACACTCGATTTCAGACTCAGAGAGATATTGCTCTGCTAAAGGCCAACAAAAAAGGAACGTGGGGTATAAGCAGCAATCCTTTGGATAGCTACTGATGGAGCATTCAGGAACCAGCAGACTGGTGGCAACGGTTTGAGTCCTGCATTGGGCAAGATTCCCAGTGACTCCAATGACTGGAGATTGCATCTGTGCCCAAGACTATTTTAAGTTTCAAAACACTAGTTAAACTAGACTAGAAATAATGGAGTATTATGAGAAATGGATGGCCCACCCAAAATACTTGGCCACGGTAAAACTGATGACTTTACACACAAAGGAACAGCTGATGAAATCTGAAGTTCCTCTGCAGTTAACCCTTCTTTGCCCTACACACAGACAAGTCGCACTCCACACACTTCACAGAGAGATACCTGTATCCAATCTCTTTTGTCTTCTGCTATGATAGATTTATTATTTTAAGTTGTGGTGTTTAAATTACAAGGAGGGACTTAAAACCAATTCTAATGGCAGCTTTGCAGGTAAATGGCACTCATATCCAGAAGAATTAATGACTATCTGCCTAGAAACATACATAGCAGGGCTGTGCGACGCTTCGGGTGCTGAGCTGATTTGGAGGAGATTCGGTCCGATTCAGCGGCTGAATCTCTGAATCTGAATTGAATCAGGAGACCGGTTAAAAGGTCCGAATCAATTTGAAGCTCTCCGAATCAACTCAGAAAAGATTTGGACAGCTTTGGAGATTCGGGCAGTCCCCGCTCTCTGCTGCAGGGAGCTGGACCTGGACTCTGTGCCGGTAAGTAGGGGGTGGGCAGGAGTGGGGGGCTGGAAGAGTAGAAGGGACTATGGGGGGACCCCCACCAGATCCCATCCCCTGCTTGCTGCTCCAGCCCCCCGAGCACTCACTGACCCCCACCCCCCACCATGGCTGCCCTGCCAGCCCCAGCTCCCAGCTCTTTAAAAAAAACCCCAAAAGACCCACACTCACCAGCTGCTGCAGCAGTCTCAGGGCTTCTGGGGGCTTGTGGCAGAGCCCCCCATGCAGCACGGGGCAGTGGGGTGCAGCGAGGATTGTCCCCCACCAGGCAGGAGCTGGTGACTCGGGGCTTTTTTATTATTTTTTTTAAAGAGCCGGGAGCTGGGGCGGGCTGGGAGAGCAGGCGGGGGTCGGGGGCTTGTGACAGAGCCCCTCCACATGTTGTGGGACACCATCCCCCCCGCCCCGCCCCCCCCC